CCCCCCCCCCCCCCCCCCCTAACTGGTGTTCATGTTGTTGCCCACCTTGCCCTTGTCTGGCAATTGATTTTCTTTTTATTATTTTTTAATGTTCTAATGGTTATTGATGCACTTTTCTTGGGTCTGCAGATAAAGCTCCATGGGCGAATGAAGGAAAACATCTGCATGCGAAAGAGCGAGGTCCTGAGTTCGACTCTACGCAATGTGAGGAATGACCTCTTGAGTCAGCCATTCCAGCTACTGTGGGGCCTCAGTGTTCTTGGAAATGTAAGCACAGCCCTTGGGCAGATGAGCGAAGAGATGGCAGCACTCTCGATGGACAAGAAATTCCTGCGCAGCCGAGAAAAGGCAAGTAGTTCATTGGTCCATGTCACCCGTTCGCCGTCCATCCATCTGTCCGCTCTCCTACCCCACCGCTTCTCTGTACATCTGATCTCTGTCCGTCTACCTATGCAGGCGGCTCATCTATCAGCCTGCCTGTGTGTCTACTTACAAAGCACTTTTAAATGCTTCAAGCCTCTCAGGATTGAGAGCGGCGAGAACAGTCTGGAATTTCCACCGTATAGTCGTACATGCTGTCCAGCTTCATGGTAAAGGCTTTCTCTACGATTTCGTCTCTGGGACTCTATGTGAGATAAGGCGCCGCGAAGCGTGGCTAGAAGCAGCCAACTCACCTGCCCAGCCGCTCCTCTGCCATCCGATCTTTATTCGTCTATCTATCTACCCAGGTGTCTTGTCTATCTGCCTGTTGTCTGTCCGACTGTCTGTGTGTCTATTTGCTAAGCACTGTGGACACCTCTTGAACGAGAGTTTGAATCCTATCGTATACAATAGGTAAGGGGCTACAACCTCTAGAACTAGAGTTCGAACCCTATCGTATGCAATAAGGGGCTACCCACCTCTAGAAAATAGAAGGCCCTTACCTATTGTATACGATAGGATTCGAACTCTCGTTCTAGAGGTGGTAGCCGCTTACCTATTGTATACGATAGGGGGTTCTAACTCTCGTTCTAGAGGTGTACCGCCCCTTACCTATTGTATACGATATGATTCGAACTCTCATTCTAGAGTTGGTACCCCCTTACTGTATTGTGTGCAATAGGATTCAAACTCTCAATTTGTCCACAGTTCATGTGGGTGCTACTCAGTGGCAATGCTACCAACGGAACTCTCGTCCAAGAGGTGGTAGGCCCCCTTGCTGTATTCTATACAGCAGGATTCGAACTCTCGATTTGTTTATCCACAGTTTATGTGCCATGTTTTTTTTTTTTTTTTTTTTTTTTTTTTTTTTAACACCATTTAGTCGCTGTGCAGTGTGCACCCAACTTAGCGCCCTTCCAGTTCACGTCAAAGAGAATTCATAATGGCTTTTAGTCCACTCTGTACGAGTCTGTAGGTGTTTTCTGTCCATATATCTTCTGGAAGTCGATGACAAACATCCAGCAACTGAATGGCCAACATTTATCTCTGGATGGCCAAACGTTTATCTCCTCTGCGTGTGTTTTATATCCATTCATCTGATGTCAGCCTAAAACAGATTTTCTTCTTCCTTTTTTTTGTGATGCCTGAAAACAATTGTTAACAAGGTAGATATTCTGCAGGTTTTGTCCGACATCTCCGTGCATGCCAGTTTGTTTGTTTGCTGCGTCTAATCCTGGAAAGCAAGCAGCCCCTAGAGGATGTCGGGGGCAGGTTGCTGAAAGAGGGTGAAGCTCCATTCGTAGATGTTCCACCTTAGAACAGTTGTTTCTTTTTCTCTGTTTGTTTGTTTTTTGTGTTTTTCAGCCTGACACAATTGTTAACAGAGGAGATATATTATGTTGGCTGTGTGCAACGTCTCTTTGTAACTCGGTTCGTTCGTTTGTTTGTTTGTTTGTTTGTTTGTTTGTTTGTTTGTTTGTTTGTTTGTTTTTGTCTGTTTGTGTGTGTGCATGGAATGCAGGAAAGCAAGCAGCCCGTCGAGGATATTGGGGACGGGTTGCTGGAAGGCGGTCAAGCTCTATTCAAAGGAGTGTTCCGTGGCGTGTCCGGACTTGTGCTTAAGCCGCTGGAAGGCGCGAAGGACGGGGGCGTTGAAGGATTTGTACATGGAGTGGGGAAGGGGATCATCGGGGCAGCGGTGCAGCCGGTGAGCGGAGTGCTGGATTTGCTGTCGAAAACAACAGATGGTGTGAATGCGACGAAGTTGAAGCTCGCAGCAATGGTGAAGGCAGAGCAGGAGGTAACTAGGAAACGGCCACCAAGAAAGATAGGCCCAGACAAGATTCTACGCACGTACAATGAAGAAGAGGCCGAAGGATCCGGCAGCAAACGGCGTAACGAGCGCCGCAGGGCGTTTGTCTTGGACCCTGGTGCCTCAACAATCTGGCATGCTGACATTCTTCGGCGATCATTTGGACGGCGCTAAGCACAGCACAAGAGAGTTTTGCTCTCTCTCTCTCTCTCTCTCTCTCTCTCTCTCTCTCTCTCTCTCTCTCTCTCTCTCTCTCTCTCTCTCTCTCTCTCTCTCTCTCTCTCT